ACAGTAAATTGAGCATGTTCGAGAGTTAACAATTATTTTAAAAAACGAATTAGATTGTTTTGAAGCCTTCACCTTAAAAAACAATAAAAAATGGCATTTATCCTCTTACTTCCCCCCCTCCCCCTCTCAATTGTGCATTAGGCAGTAAAACTGGGTCAGCTAAAGGCAACCATAACAGTGTCTGCTGAGATTAACCCTGGGTGGTGCTGACATCAAAAAGGGCCAAGACAGTTTGCACTGCTCTTCCAACAAACAAGCAGTATGTAGCTTTCTCATGATCCATTATATCCTTTGGCTGAGGCTATGAGATCCAGGTGAGAATGTTTGGGGGACGGTTCCATAGGAAACTCTCCTGTTCCGTACCAGGCTCCATAAGCCCATCATCCCCATCCTTGCCATCTGAGCTCTGGCATCCCTATCCCTGAGTTCAAGATCCTCGCCCTCTACCTTCAAGCGCCAACTTGGCCTTGCCTAGTGATCTGCAGTCTCCCCGGGGATCCTGTTCTATAAGTTTACTACTCGCTCACTGAAGTAGTGTTTCCTCAAATTTTCTCTGAGTATTATTTGAAACAATGCAGCCTGTGAATGTATGGGCTTTCCACACTACCTTCAACCTCACTGTAGATGATCAGTGTGGGAGGACAGTGGTGGGTTTGGTTTTGTGCTCATCTCATGGAATCTCATAGGAGAGAATGTCGTCACAGTTGGAAGTCTCTAGCCTCTAATTTGTATATTTTGCAAATTAACTTCCAACCTGCTTACTTATAAAATAATACTGCAACAACGATCCTTACATTGCTATTATTAGTGAGTAGGAACCTGGTTGTTAGTCGATTGGCGGATCGCTTTCCTGGGGGTAACCAACCCATCATTTTTTTTTAGCAAAATTAGTCATTCAATCCATGACTGTTTGTGGGACACTGCTGTGCGCAATTAGCTGCCCACAAATATACAGTCAATTCACTTTACAGTATATTGCTCCAGTGCTTGTTCATCCAGAAATAAAGCCCATTTATGATAATAATAATAATCCTCGCATTTGATATAGCGCCTTATCACGTCTTCGAGACGTCTCAAAACGCTTCACAGAATATACTGTAAAGTGAATTGACTGTATATTTGTGGAATAAACCGGCACATCTCTATTTCAAATATGCAGAGCTTCTTTCAGTCCACCACCACCACCACCTCCTCCCAATTTCTTATGCTAATTTAATAATTTAAAACTCTTGTCAGAATTGCTTCGAAGGAGACATTTGATCAGATCTTACGTTTCTGGGCTGAACTCCCTTTTCACAGCACGCCAATATGTCAGCTTAACCTAAAATGTGAAGCGTGGGAGAGTACCCTGTTCTTCTACTTGCTTTAAGCGTTTCTAAATTTCTCATTAGAGGCTGGCACCGTGTCAGTCATTCTGATAAACTTCAAAGGGCCAGTGTCCATCGGAGTATTTCAAAGTGGAAAGGCCAGGTCAAGTATTTATTAAGAGAAGGCTGACCTCGGTTGAAAATTAATACGTTTTGTGCGTTATTCCGGAGGGATGTTGGGGAGGGGATGTGCAGGAGGGTGTTTAGAGTGAGAAAATTGAGCAATGTTACGAGGCAAAGCTCCACTGCAATGAAGTATAAATGTTAAAGCTAACACAAGGAGTTAATCTCACTGATTGCTCCCGTGTAGTATCTCGACATTCCACGGCGCACAAATGGTGACGTCGTCAATCTCGCTCAGCACTCCAGGGAACACGCAGAATGTCTGATAATATTGTCGAAAGACCTTTCTCTGCCATGGCAGGTTTCCACCGCGATTTCCCATTTTCAAGGACTTGCCTCTTTGACCCATCGCACTTTTCCCCTCTTCCACCCTTGATCAGGTTCACACATTCCTTTCAGAACTGAATAATAATAATAACAATCATTCTTGCATTTGATACAGAGCCTTATCACGTCCTTGAGACGTCTCAAAGCGTTTCACAAAATATACTGTAAATTGAATTGACGGTATATTTTGTGGGTGAAACGCGGCAGCAAATTGCGCCCAGCAGCGTCCCACAGACAGTCGTGGATTGAGGGACCAAATTATTATTATTTCGCACTAAATGGCACCAAATGGCATCACTGATGCTGCCTCTAAAAATTCCAACAGGCTGCACAAACATTAGCATTATTTCTTCCAATTTTCCACAGGTTTTTCTCTAGAGAACCTTATTGATGGGCAGGTAGAGGGTTAGCGTGGCTAATGCACACATTTTAAGCATTTTATCACCTTTGGCAGACAATATGACCCTCCCTTCATTTAAAAGGCAAGGCTGTGTTGTTGAAGCTCGGAGGGAAGTGGTTAAATTCCTTGAGCAGTCATTTTGCCAGAGAACGATGGAATTAATACAGTCATTACTTTAGGGCCTGTAGGAATCGGGACCTCAGCAAACACTGGCCTGTTCCATATCCCTGCACCACCATCAGCTATTCTGTTCCCACTCTCTGGAACTTCATCCCAAAGCCCTTCTGACTCTTTCCCTCCGTCCCTTCCTCCATCCTTTGCCTCGACATACCTGTCTGACAGTGCTTCTGATCATCTTGCCCCCTTCCCATCCCCTTCAGTCCCCACCCCCACCTCGGGTGCTGAAGACACCAGTGTCAAGTGCTTCGAGATGATGTGAAAAGCGCTGCACAAATGCAAATTGCATTGTATCGTTCGCAGCAAGTTGTATCCCTGGACGTGATAAGTGAGAGACTGGAACAGCACTTGATTAAACCATTTAAATACTTGTGCACACGGCTACACTATGACAATCCTACCTACACTTCAGAAAGCGCTGTTGTTATGAAGTTGATTCACTCTCATAACGGGCTTGTGTAAATACGGTCCTTTCACTGCTGCTCGGGGAGAGCTGCTCTCAGTACTTCAGCAGAGCTGAATCCGATGATGCACAAAGCCCATTAATTCCATTCAACAGTCAGCGATTAACTCTCTCCCCGGCCAGAAATGCCAGAAATTTCATCTCTCTCCGCTGGAAATCACTGTGGGCCATTGTTGGCCATTCAGGGAGGGAAAGGTTCAGAAGTGATACCAAATCTGCACTGGCAGGAGTTCAGAATAAGCAGTGCACCAAAACTGAGTGTGTTTATGACGAGGCAGTTACAGGAATTGTTTTTTTTTAGGCTGGCTGTGTTTTGGTTTTCTGCTTGTGAGCTCACGTCGATGAAATAGCAGAGCTGACGGGTAACGGTTTCCAGTTGGCAGATCTGGTTGGGATGTTTTTTCAAAAAAAAAACACTCGACCTCGAGTCTCCAAACCTTCAGGTGCAGGATGGCGTGATGCTTAGCGGCAATTCTTCACCTGCAGAAGAACGTTCGAAGCCCAGTAAACTTTCCGTTGACGCTCGTTGTTGACGTCAGCAATGCAGGTCGCCTGACACAAAGCAGATGGAGAGCAAGGAGATTCACTGACGTCTGCCCTCCAGCTGAGACAGACCCATTTTTATCCCACCCTGGATATAGTTAGCTTCATCGCCGATAGCAACAAGGTGCGAGGAGTGGCACAGTCAGGTGGCGAGCACTCAGTTGATTGCCGGTTTAGCGACTTGAGGTCATAAGTCACGTGTTTTTTTTTATTTTAGGATCCAGTTTAACTCGAAGGGTTTGATTCAAATGGGATAAATAAAATCGAAGGATGTGTTACTGGGGGAATACCGTCACAAGTAAAATATCAGAAGGTCACTTTGCGTTACATGGAAACAGGAGGAGGCCATTCAGCCCCTTGAGCCTGTTCCGTCATTCTATAAGATCATGGCTGATCTGTACCTCAAGTCCAGTTACCCGCCCTGGCTCCGTATCCCTTAATAACCTGACCTAACAAATATCTATTCACCTCAGTCTTGAAGATGTGAATGGATCCAGCATCCACAGCCTTGCTACATTGCACGAGAGGACTGAAACTCAACTAGTCTTAGCCTGTAAGATCATTTTGTCTTCAAATGTAAGATTGCGCAGACTTGTGGACGATTCAGACTTAATTTAAACGCAGATTCGTTTTTTGGAAACGGAAAAGGGAGGTGGGGGGCGGGTGAGGGGAAGGGGAAGAAACAACGCCCAAATTGAAACTAAATTTAAGAATCATCCCAAATTTCATGACAAATTGGTTAAGATGAAGAGTTTTTGCCCTTCAGCAACCTAGGGACAGAGGTAGGGGCACGTGGCCCGTTGACAGTCCTGCACCATTTTATTTGATAATAAAACTTTGGTACCATTTGCGCTTTATGTATGAGCAAGTTTATTACCAGCTTTTGGCCATAGACTGGAAGTTCCCACACTGAAACGAAGGATATGTGGCCAGAAAATCAAGCTCTTAATAAGTGTGGGTTTAATGAATATATTGGGTTTGTCCCGTTCAGTTGTTCCAAGACTCAGCTTCAACTCTTGGATTCCTTAAACTGATTAGCACGTGAGCGAGAGTCCAAGCAAAGACGATTACTGATTGTTTCCTGAGTTGTGGAATCTAATGCTGAGTGGAGTCCTGTAGCTTAGTGGTTAGATCACTCGCCTCGGCAAGCGAGAGGACCTGGCAGGGCGAAATGTTGGGCGTTTCTTACTGTTTACCTAGCAGTAAGAAGGAACCCGGTTGTTAATCGATTGGCAGATCACTTTCTGGGGGGGGGTAATAATAACCCCTTAAAAAATATATATTTTTTAAATAATAATAATTTGGTCACTCAACCCATTGTGGGACGCTGCTGTGTGCAATTGGCTGTCGCATTTTGCCCGCGAAATGTAGTCAATTCACTTTACAAAAATTCTGTGAAGCGCTTTGAGAAATCTCAAAGACGCGATAAGGCGCTAAATAAAATGGAAAAGGATTATTATTATTGTAACGTGGAAGAGTAATGGTGTCATGTAAAAACACATCTTTGAACTGTTGGACAAGACGGAGAGAGAGCGAGAGTTAGGCTCAGTCTTGTGTTTTTATTATTGTGCTGAAATGTATTAAACTTCTGTGTTTACAGTCGCCAGGATATATACGAGAAGTCAGTGAAGACATTGTCCAGCAATGTAAAGAAAAACTCGAAATGAATGCGTGCAAAGAACTCTTCACTCACTGTGTAAAGTAAGTGAAATTGCAATTCAAGGGACTGATCTCTCTCGTTTGCTCATCAGTTATTGTTTTTCTTTAAAGGAAACAATTTTCTCCGCTCTACATCCTGATGTCTCAAGTTACGTACGGCCTTTGCTATTGTCTTAAAATGGAGCTTTGCAATTCTATCCCCCCCCCACCCGCCACCCTCCCCTCCTATTGGATTGGTTATCCTCAACTGTAAGAAATGTCCCCCATTCTCCTCTCTCCCCCCCCCCCCCGCCACTTTCATTAGCAATCCTCTGGCATGCTGACGTGGGCTTCCTTAGTTTATTTCCTTTGGAGAGTGAATAGTCCACTGGGTGTTTGACTGGATTGCCTAAGAATGTGAGTTTAATTCATTTTTCCCCCCAGCATGAAAGTAATGAAGAAACCAGGTTCAGACTGATTCATTGCTTACCCAGAACCTCCAACAACAATGTTGGAAAGGCAGGATCAAGATTGTTCGAAAGCCTGCATTTTTTTCCCTCCAGGCTTTCAGTAAAGCAGAAATTCGACGTCAACATTATTATTTTTAATCTCCACATTGGAACCTTCGCAGCAATGATTGTTTGTAGATGTGATCACTTTGCGATCAACGCACTAGTAGGAGGTATATGAACAGCTCGCTGTTAAACTGAATATTCAGGTCTAAACTTGCTGATCGAGTAGTTGCATATCTTATATTTTTATTGATTGAATCGGTGCCTAGCAATGGTTTACGTTTCTAGGAGGTGACTAGTGCTAAGTGATGAGGAAAGAGAATTCATCACAGAAGGAGTTTTTGTTTTGTATAAACACAGAAGTCGCTGGAACAGACAGCAGGTCAGGCAGCATCCATGGAGAGAGGAAGACGAGTTAACGTTTCAGGTCTATGACGTTTCGTAAGACCTGGGAGCTGTTTTTGTGCTGTTGTAGATTATTAATAATACTGTATTTACGTATCGTTGTTCTCTACACCTTTGCTGAAATCCCTGCTACATCTAGGACTGTGGTTCTGTTAGCGCCAGCAGCGCTGTGGCACCTCGTACATATTTCACGTGCAAATTTAGACGCAGAGCGTTAGCACGGTGTCTGATCACAGAGAACACCGCAGGCAGACCTGATTCTATTCTCACCCAATATTCACTTCCAGTCGGGTGTTGCTGGATAGCAAAAGGTGTGAGAGCCCTGGTTGATGTTTGCTCTCCTCCTCCCCAGCTATGGGATGGCAAGGCTCAGTGATGGTGCTCAGTCTATATCTCTGGTGCTGCACTGGCCAATCTATTTGCCCATGAGACCATTGAGGGGGGGAGGTGGGGGGGGAGTGGATCTCTATGTATTTGAGTTTTAACCCTTAGGGAGTGCTAACACCAGCAAATGATTATGACAATAATAATATTAATATCCCTTGCATTTGATACGGGGCCTTCTCACATCTTCGAAATAATAATCCTTGCATTTGATATAGCGCTTTTCACGTCGGGAGGACATCCCAAAGCGCTTCACAGAATATACTGTAAAGTGAATTGACTGTATATTTGTGGGTGAAACGCCGGCAGCCAATTGCGCACAGTAGCGTCCCACACACAGCCGTGGATTGAGTGATCAAATTATTATTGTTTTTTTCTTGAGGGATTATATGTTCCCTGGCCTGGCTGGCACCTACTTCTCCTTCTTTCATTCTGAAATATATATATATACATTAGAATACATTAGAATATACAGCACAGAAACAGTCCATTCGGCCCAACTGGTCTATGCTGTTGTTTATGCTCCACATGAGCCTCTTCTTGCCCTTCCTCAACTGAGCCTTCAAGCAGAATCTTCTATATTTTTCTCTTTTTTTGCTCCTTCCCTCTCCTCGTTAAAGGCCCATCTCAAGACCTACCGTTTTGACTGTGCTTTCCTTCGGTCATCTTTCCGCTCCCGCCCCCAGCTCAGTCGGTTAGCCAGCCAGCCAGCAGTGTTGAGTGCTTTGAGACATCCTTCCAACATTAAATGCCCCATATTAAACGTGTAATGTGTTGTATTCCTCCCCTCTCCTCAACCACCCGTGCACTCATCAAACAAGCATTCTGTATTCCCTTATCAAAGATGTGCTGTGATTTGCTATCTTTTTATATATATAAAAAGGCTACTTTAACGAAGTCTCTGCAGTGTCCCTGATGGTATCGCATTTACTATATAATGGAGGGAAACGGTCGAGCTCTGCTGGAATCAGTTTGGCATTGAGCATATCTTCTCCAAGCACTGCCATTGGCAATGCTGTTGTTCTGCTTCCAGACTGATTAGAAGTCGTTTTATTTGAACTTTGAGGTCAGTGTGAAATTCACTCCCCCTCCCCCCGGAGCTCTGATCAGGCAGGAGATTGCCTGAGCCAGCCCTGCCTGCACAGGAACATAACAACAGCCTGGCAGACTTGTCCTTTTCATCCATCCTGCTGTCTATAAGACACACCAAGCTTCCTCTTGGGTCCCTCGGCAGCAACAACAACAGCTTGCATTTACTCTTCACGCTGGACGGTGTCTCGGAGAGTTTGGCTAACGTCGGGGCTAACAGCACGGCTAACATCAGGGCTGTGCATGTGTGTGAAGCATTAGGGTTGATCACAATCCTGTCCCCTCCTTCCCCCCACCCCACATCCCGTCCACTGCTTCCTTCTAATTTCTTAGTCATTGCAAAAGCTCGTCATTATGATTGGGGGGGGGGGTGGAATTTCAGGGAATATTTTGAAGGAAAAGTCTAAATGATTACTCTGAGGGTGGGGGGGATGGGAGCGAGTTCCAACTTTAGCAAAATTTCATCTTCTCTACACCCCCCCCCTTTCCAACAGCGTACACAAATGTGCTGTGAGAACTAAACAGAGCAAAAGCTTTGTGGATTATTTTCTTCGAATTAAAATGAGTTTGAATCAACAAGGAAATGTGGTTGGATGCAGACTGGGATGTTCTGGTAAGTGGAGGGAAAGGGGCCAAGTTTGAATAGCGAAGATGGATGATGGATGAATCCTCTGGAATTTCAGCTTGATTGCCTTTGGGATTTGGAGCGTTATCTACACAGAAGTTTTTTTCCTTCCCTCCCCCGACCCCCTGAGGTCAAGTGTGATGGAGATGTGGGGGGGCGCGGGGAAGAGAGGAGGAGACGGGATGCCTTTGTGTGGTCTGTACATTAAGCTTGCAAAGCCTTTGCTCATTTCATGTTTCCTTGTGTTCTTCGTTGCTGACCTTTTACAAGGTTTTTTTTTTGGCGTGAAGCAAAACTTTTTAAGTAGCAAGTCAGGCCAGTTCTGTAATTGCTCTGTTATCTGTCCTAATTGATGCACTGGAAAAAGAGAGCAGGTTTTAAACCCAATCCAGAAGCGTCCCTTCAAGAGTTTGTTTCTGAATTTCACATGGAAAAAAATGACCTTTTTTTTTAATAAACTGCGCCCACATTTTTTAAGCTACTGATTTCCCATGGGTCCGTTATACGGTCAGTCACCCCTGTTCAAAGCAGCTGTTGATCATCATGCCACGTACAGTTTAAGGAGTACGAGTTCTGGATATCATGTTGTAAAATGTCTACAAATATTCGACGAGGAAGTATCTGTTGGCTGGTGGACTATGTTACAGTGACCTGGTTCGTTGTTGTACTGTACCATGTTATGTGATTCATTGTTTGCCTCTGCGTAGCTGATAAGACAGTCTTTCAAGCAGACATTAAGCGACGTACAGACAAATGAGATGCGCTGAAACATTGTCTCTCTCAGTGAACTGCAGCAAAGGAGTGCACTATGTGGCAGCCCGAGTTGGATTCTTCTGAATTGTATGTGGGAGACGCCAAATAGATTTTATAGGGATTTTCCATCATTGTTTAATGACATGTATCAATACTGTAAAGTTAGCATTTTTTTTTCACGAGTTTCTTTCCTTCACGCTGTATGGCAGTAACTTGTGCTGGTTCTAGTCCTACACACGCTGACAGCCTTTCATAGGTTGCCCAAAGTGGTTGTTATTCATTTGTGGGCCTGGATAATGTAATTCAGGCATGAGAGAGATTAATTCCATAGCCTGTTGTAGCCTTCACCATCACACACATACACATACACCCACACGCACGCGAGACTCTATTATCACTTATCAACTAATAAAACAATAAGAATAATCCTTGAATTTTGTATCATGCCTTTCACGTTAGGAGGATGTCTCAACAGGATTTACTGTAGTTTTATTGACTGTATTTTGTAGGTGAATTCAGCAGACAATTTGCAAACAGCAATGTCCACGAGTGACCAATTTTATCGCGACTTAATTATATACCATTTCCAGACAATTGCCCTGTTTTTTTTAAACGAGTCATTAAACTGAGGTTTCTTCTGCCTATTGTTGCAAGTGGAGTTAATGGGCTTCTTGCCATTATTTCAAAGTACAGTTGGTGAGAGTTTTCCCCCAGTTATCCTGGCTTCGATCCAAATTAACTCACAACTCATCTCATTCTTGTTTGTCGGTTGTAACTGGTACAAGTGAGTTCCCTCTTTGCCTACTTAACAGCACTTACTTGAATGCTGATTAATCTTGCTGTGTGCCAAAGGCATTAAAACACTTTGAGATGTTTTGACAATGTGATAAAGCGCTGTAGCAATTGCAAGGATTATTATATTATCATTATTATTATTATTGTGTAAACCTAAGTCTTTGCTTTCTATCAAGGATCACAAGGTCATCCATCATCCCCTGCCCAGGAGGGTGTTGGTAGTTGTGCTCAGTGTAAAATGTCTTAGATGATTCACTTGCTATCGTGTGTATTTGAAAAAGAAATGACGTGCATTTGAACCTCCTCAACTCATTCTTCACAGATTCATTATTGATTGCGGGGAGTGAGAACGGACGTCAGCGTAGTTGAGATGTTCAGGCCCTTTAGCGTGTCTTTAGCGTGCAGACGAAATGTAATTTGGAGTGCCATCTAGTGGAAGAATAACATCGAGGTCCTTATTAATTTGACGGGCAAATTTGGACTGCCTTAATAATCCTTGCATTCTGAAACATTGAAACATCAAAGCACTTGACAGGGAACTGCTGTCAAGTGCAGTGCTTGTATACATGTAGGCCTGAGTCTTTACTGTAGTAGCTCATTGGACAAATAGATGGAGTTTAGATGCCCGAAGGTGCCTAAATGCCAGTGAAGAAGTGAATGGAACACAACAGGCATCGAGATCTACCAAGCGTTTTATTCTGATCAGCAGTGAATGGTTAAGCTTAAAGAATTCTTTGCACCAGATGGGTTCCTGTAGGGGAAATGTTTTCACTGGGAATGTTAAGTGAAGACTGCAGTAATTGCAATCAAAGGTGTCAGCAACGGATGCCAAGGTTTTCAGCTTTTGAGAGCTTCACTCTTTGGTGTGAGCCGCTAATTACAACACAGTGATGCGCAGTTGTTATCTGCAGTTATTTTAAGGCAGGGGGAGTGTGTGCTTGTGAAAAACGGTGTCGTTTGAACGTATCTGTTCCAAATGGAAATTAGCAGCAAGTGTAATCACTTATTTATAAAGCAAAACATTTTTGAAACTTTGCTGCACATCCCTTTCATACTACTTTTAAACCTTAGGTCAATAAACAACTCCAGTGCACTGTATGACCACAGCTTAGGTACCCAGCCAGAATTGTCGAGTACTTGGGGTTGCCGTATTGAAGTGAGAGGCGCTATAAGTTGTGTTGTATACTGCAAGTGGCGCTCCAGTACTCACTGGCCAGCTGTCTTCACAAGGTGTGCAGGGGCAGAAAGCTTCCTGGCATCCAAGGTAAATGCTATTTATTGCAGTGACTGTACTTGTAAGCAAACCCAGCAACCAATTTGGACGCAGCAATGCCCCGCAAAAATAGACAGCTGGCTAATGGCTAAATTAGCTGGAGGATTGTTGGCCAAAACTCCGAGAGAAAGTCCTTTCTCTCTCTTTAATAGTGTCGTGGATTTTTTGAAGTCCACGTGAACAGGCAGACGTGATCTCAGTTGAACATCTAGCTTATCCCAACAATGCAGTGCTCAAAGACCATGAGCTCAAGTTCCCATATCACCTCTCTGTGTTTTTTTTGCACACTGCGCTGACCAACAACTGAAACGTGTGGAAGGATGATGATAATTGTACTTAGAAGCACTCAATTGTATTCAGTTACAAGTGTTTAACTGTATGTAGATCGCCAGAGAATCGGTGTCTGAGTGTGTGAGCGAGCGCCATCATTTTCTTGGGTGGGGGTAACGGGACTTTGCGAACACCCTGTAGGTTATGGAGAGAATAAAGGAGTCTGTGAAGCAGCAGGTCTTCTGCTTTCGTGGTTCATGACTTTCATTGCTGGAGGAGTCCTGATCACATACCCACTATTGCTAGAGCTTGCATTCTTCCACAATTTGTTTATGCCAAAATTAAATAGCAAACAATGAAAAGTAAAATCTGTTGGAAAAGCCAAAAGGTGAAGCAAGCCCTCAGTGTTCCAGCAAACAGCTGAGACCGACTTCCCAACAAACACCCCTTCACAGGAACTCGTTCTTCTGTGATCTCCCAAATGGACATTTCTCTTTGGAACAAAGATGCTGATCGTGTTCAAAGGCTGTGATCTGCACTGTGCAGTGAGTGAGGAGGTTAGGTTAGGCAAGTGGTGACAAAGAAGTAAAACACAGGTTACACTCATTTCAGCAAGGTTTTGACGAACTCCTACATCTCAAAAAACAATTAATAATAATAATAATAATCCTTGCATTTGATATAGCGCTGTTATAATAATAATAATAATAATAATAATAATAATAATAATAATCCTTGCATTTGATATAGCGCTTTTCACGTTGGGAGGACGTCCCAAAGCGCTTCACAGAACACACTGTAAAGTGAATTGACTGTATATTTGTGAGCGAACGCGGCAGCCAATTGCGCACAGTAATGTCCCACACACAGTTGTAGCTTGAAAATGACCAATTTATTATTGTTTTGGGTTTTGGAGGGATTATTATTAGGCTCTGTGTGGAGTAAGGAAACTTGCCCAAGGTTTCGCCCTCTGCCTGGAATTGAACTCAGGTCTCTCACTTGCAAAGCGAGTGCTCTAACCACTGAGCTACAGGACTCCAATTGAAGGTGCACCACACTTTGCAAACACCAAACACCGAAACGCAGGTGTGAGCGAATACTGGTTAAAAGCTGCAGTGAGATCCGAGGGCAGTTGTGGAGTCCTGTAGCTCAGTGGTTAGAGCACTCGTCTTGCAAGCGAGAGGACCTGGGTTCGATTCCCGGGCAGGGCGAAGAAACGTTGGGCAAGTTTCCTTACTCCACTCGCGTCTGTTTACCAAGCAGTATGTAGGAACCTGGTTGTTAGTCGATTGGTAGATTGCTTTCCAGGGGTAGTAATCCCTTAAAAGTACATAACAATAATAATAATTTAGTCACTCAATCCACAACTGTTTGTGGGACACTGCTGTGCGCAATTGGCTGCTGTGTTTCGCCCACAAAATATACAGTCAATTCCCTTCACAGTATAAGGTGCCATACCAAATACAAAGATTATTATTATTACATTTAGGCTTGATCAGACCCTATTGAATGACTGAAAGGTACCTCAACGTTTTGTGTGGTGTGTTGGGTGTGTGCTGTGAATGTCATCGCCACTTATACATGCAGCACTAAAGTCACCTTTGCTCTCTTTTGCCCCACAACAGGTCAGGACATGATTATCTGAGCGGGCAGCCCTTTAAAGAATATCAAGACAGCATGTATTTTGACCGCTTTCTGCAGTGGAGGTGGCTGGAAAGGTAAGGCCCATGAAATAAAATTCGACTTGAGTTTTCCTGGAGGTTATCTACTTTTTGGAAACGGAATCTCATCTCTTGCACTGTGTTTTTTATTTAAAAATAAATATTAAAAATAAGTACCAACAGCTCAAAAGAATTTGAGGTCTGGAACCAGACAACTGACAGCATTATTTTGAGAATATTTACTGTACTTGTTCAATGAATAAACTAGCTGTTAAGTGCTTTTGCAACTAGATTTTAACAAGCGACTGAATTGTGCACATTCACGGGTAGCCTTGCTCCCTCCCTTGCCTCCTTCAAGGAAAGTCTCAAGACCTTCCTCTTCGACTTCGACCGTGCCTTCGTCACTCTCCTTCCTCCCTCCCTGCCCTCCACCCTCCCTTATCCCAAGTCCCTGCCAAGCCCCCACCCCTTCTCGGGTCCAAATCCCCGACTGTCCAGCGCCTTGGGATGTCCTCCCGACCTGAAAGGCGCTTTACAAATGCAATTTTGTGTTGTATTGTAGCTTTAACTTCTCTAGAATCAGTTAGTAGTAAAGAGTCCAAATTTCTAATTCAACTCCGGGAATAAAAAGAAAATTAACGGGTGGCCCTTTGGTGTCTGTAGGTTTCCCGAGAGTCATTATTGTTTTTAAAAAGGAACAAAATATTTTTGCAACACTTTGTTTCCCTCTCCCATGCCGTGGCAGGAGGTAACCTTATGCGGATTCTCTCTGGAGCTATGTTATTCCTGAAGGGAGCTGGGAGGTTCTGTGTACAATTAGGGGGTAGATTTGAACTCTTTCCTGCTAACGGAAGCCCAAACATGTAGGGCAGTCCCAGTTGGATAATTAACTTAATGTGATTACCTTTACCAAAGAACCTAAAGAGCAATTCTGACTCTTCCCTTATAACAATACACTACAAAATGACATTTGTACAGCGCCTTTCAAGTCAAGGTGCGAATGTGGGTTTAAATCCCACGTCAAGACTTGGAACTTGCACAGTCCACGCTGTTACACTGTTAGAGGTGCCGTTCTTCGGAAGATAGGAACAGGAGTAGGCCATTCAGCCCCTCGAGCATGTTCCACCATTCTATTGGATCATGGTTGATGAAGGAGATGTTAAAGCCAGGTCCTGTCTGCCTGTTCAGGTGGATGTTAAAGATCTCGCGGCACTTCTCGAAAGAGAGGAGGGAGTTTCTCCCTGTGTCCTGGCCGACAATCCCACAGATAAAATTGGTCATATGCTCCATGGTTGTTTGTGGGACATTGCTGCGTGCAAATTGGCTGCAAATTATTCACTCACAAATACAGTCTGTACACTTCACAGTAATATCACGCGAAGTGCTTTGAGACATCTGGACAACATGATTATAAATAATCCTTACAATTGCTGTAGTCCTGTTAGTGTCAAAACACCTCAAAGCATTTGACAGCTAATTGTTATTATGTATAATGATTGTGTTTTTGTAGGCAAACACAGCAGCTACTTTATACACAAGGCACCATAAACAGCCATGACGTGAATGATCTATTTATCTGAATTGGATTGTTGGCTAGGATTAGAGTAAGGTTTAAATCCTGAATACTTGGTATAAAAGGGCTCTCCTTAAAAGCAGTGTATTGGTCAAGGTTTTATAAACAATACATGAATCTCCATTGAGAAACTAGTTCCTCTGATGGGGAAACTCTAGAACAAGTTGGCATTATCTTAAAATGAAAGCTCGGCCATTTAGGAGTGAAATCATCTAAGTTACAATCAGGAGACAGCTTTTCGCCCAGAGGGTAGCGGAAATCTGGAACTCTCTCCCCCAAAAGGTTGTGAATGCTGGATCCATTCACATCTTCAACACTGAGGTGGATAGATACTTATTAGGTCAGGGAATCAAGGGCGGGTAATTGGAGTTGAGGTACAGATCATCCATGGAGGTTTTAGAATGGCGGAACAGGCTTGAGGGGCTGAATGGCCTTCTTCTGTTTCCATGACCGTCCCACTGTACTACCCACAATTGTGTTGGTAAAAAAACAGAGCCTTCATTGTTGAGAGATTATTCTACATGTTAGCAAGGATGAGAGGAAACGGCTACCGAAAAAGATTGGACAGTTTCTTCCTAGAATTTAGACTATTGAAAAGGGGAGGAGGCTGATGGAGATGTTTAAAATATTGAAAGGATTTGATAAGGTGGATGTTGATGAACTGTTTCCACTCGTTGGTGAGTTCAAAACGAGGAGCATAAATATAAGGTAGCCAGTAATAATAATAATAATACTGACATTTAATACAGCGCCTTATCGCATCTTCGAGACGTCTCAAAGCGCTTCACAGAATATACTGTAAAGTGAATTGACTGTATATTTTATAACGCATATAAAAGGAGGTACTTCTTCACACAAAAGATAATAATAGTAATGGTGAGAACGTGAAACTCACTGGTTGAGGCAAAGAGCATCGATGTATTCAAGAGAACACTTGCTGCATATATTGTGAAGGCTGAAGTACCACTCAGGCCACAAATAGTTAAGCCATTGAAGGAAGACGAAATGATTAGGCCTGCGAGTGTTTTTTATTAGGATCATTGCTGCAAGCAAACAAACTAATATGTTTAATAATATTATCTAGAGAATAATTTGGAGTGTTTACTTAGGCTTCACCTACCTATCCCCAAGTCATCCAGAGAGAATTTGCCCTGTTACCACATTATGTACTTAGATTGCAGAGGAAATTGACGAGTTGACTTGTTTTGAATGTTCCAGGTAATGGTTTCAAAGAAGCACACACTATTCAGAGAAGGATTTAGCTTTGCAAACCCTTTTTTCGTGTCGCAAGTCGCAAGTCTTTTATTTGCATCGAATGTTCAAGCCTGCTTCTAAAAAGATTTTGTGATCTCCTCAAGGTTAAACATTGTCTAAATTGCTTAAAACATTGACTTCTTTGAACTTCTGAAGCCTGGGGCAAAATAACTGTGCTGTCTTGTCAAATACTAGCTTCTACCCAACAACTATTATATACAGGAGAGGAATTGAGCTGCTCAAACTGTAAGGGCAGATTGTTTACCATTTTGCCTCATTCAAGTTCATTAGATTTGAACTAAACTTCCCTGGGAGGGTTGTTTATACATGTAAATGCCATTAAAGATCTTCATCAGCAGATCGGCTCTGAATTCCTGCGCTACATAAGACTGTTTGCGCAGACAGAGGAGAAATATAGTCTCCTAACCTTCCAACCCTACCCAGCTCACATTACAAAACAAATGATCATAGATCATACCCCTGATGTCAGGAAACGGCTAAACTCTCGGTTTACAATGTGCATTCAGTAGCGTTCCAGAATGATTAACGCAAACTTTGAGCTCCTACGAATTGAGTACCCGAGGAAACGAGATCAAGATTGCAGCTAAGAAGGAGTGTTTATCAGGCCAGCGAAATAGTCATAGAGTCAGCATAAGAGCTTTGAACTTGGTCGTTCAACGTCGAAATCAGATGGAACAATAACAACAATTTGCACTTATAGAGTGCCCTCCACGCAGGGCATGCAGTGTCTCAGAGCGCTTAACAATGGCGGAGCCTGACTCCGAGCCGGTGGGGGAGTGGGTGGGGGGGATGGGGGAGATGACCATAAGCACGGTGGAAAAGGAAGGTCTTCAGGCGGGACTTGAAAGAGGGGAGAGAGGGGGCAGAGCTGAGGGATTGAGGGAGAGTGTTCCAGAGTATTGGGGCGCAGTGGCTGAATGCACAACCTCCAATGGTGGAGAGGAGGGTGCAAGGGACAAGCCGGAGGCTGGGGCCAGTCGAGCGGAGGTGCCAAGTGGTAGATTGGGGAGTGAGGAGGTCGGAGAGGTAGGGAGGTTACCAGGGAGTGACGCGATTTGAACACGAGTGTGAGGATCTTGAAGTCGAATAGATAGACACTTCGAAGCTTCATTAGAACCTACAAAGGGAAGTGTATTCTACTCAATTGTCACATAATAGTGAGTATTATCAAAGGAGGTTTTTTTTAATTAATCAGCAGGTGTCTCGACACACACGAAGTAACCCATCGCCTTGTTTGAGACTATCCATAACAAACTACTGAATTCCGCGGCATTTACTTGGCAATTTCCAATTGGAATGAATGAAGGAACACATATACTCACTTCATAATAACTGGAGAGTGTCTGACTTGCCTGAACCTCCCAGCAGACAACGTGATTGTATCTCTTTGTGCCTAACCTGATTTCTGCAATGAGGGAAGGGACTTTGTGTTGGTCATTACACTACTGTTGTTTCTGAGAACGAATGATCCAGTTCAAGTCTGTTCACAACCCAGATAGAACTGGAAGGATAATTTATCCATTCCAACCCTCCTCTGATAGCTCTTGAAGGAAAGATATACATTCCTTACCCGTGTTGTATTTTCTTTCAGACAAGCTGTAACGAAAAACACATTTAGGCAATATAGAGTACTGGGAAAAGGTGGCTTTGGTGAGGTAAGTGAACTTGGCAACAGGAGAGGTTTCTGCTTCGAAAGTGTTTTTTTATTAAACTCACAAGCTGTTTCATCTGCGAGAGAAATCAGTTATCCTTCGAAAATAATTTTTTTATGGCATTATTGTGATTTTCGTGTAAAAGGTTTCAAAAACAAAGATTTTAAGTTGCGACAACTCATTAGTCAGTCCGCTACTCGGTTCAGAAAGCTCTTTGCCCTTGTTTATACAGGGTGACCAAAAAGTTGTGATTACTATTACAATGTCTAATAAGTCTTAAAAAAAATGATGATTTTTTTAGATAATAGGGTAGCTGAAAAATAAGGCACTTTTGGTCGCGGTGTACATGAAATGTCATCAGAGGTCCAAAACAGCGGATCAACCGACTCTGAACGGGCGAAAAATGTTGCATAGGCATTTATTTAAAACTGTCTTTTATTTCTCCTCGCTCTTCCTCCGTGTGTAGGTCTGTGCCTGTCAAGTACGAGCGACCGGGAAAATGTACGCCTGCAAGAAATTAGAGAAGAAAAGGATTAAAAAGAGAAAAGGAGAAACTATGGCTTTAAATGAAAAGCAGATTTTAGAAAAAGTCAATAGTAGATTTGTAGTAAGTACATTTCTCAGAAACTGCTGCCAGATGGCTTGCTGAGGAACTGTGTGCATTGTTTTTCTTTGGCCGTGTACAGATTGAAAGTGACTTTCTCTGTGTGCTCTGGTCCTAACCTAACCTGCCTGCATTCGTCCTGTGCTGTGCTGTTGATCATGTTTGTGCGCTTATGCACGTTTGTGTGGAAGTTTTGTTGATGGAATAGCGCTGGGTGTTTTTTAATCCCCATTCAGTTACCAACGATGCTTTTAAACGATGTTGTCAACCCATGTTTAAATGGTGATTAGCGACCTCGATACCTCGAGCGCTAACTTACGTAAGTGACTTTGGTGTGGTAACTAATCTTGGCAACGATATCAAACACTCGCAGGTCAGGTACAAAGTGGGTTACATGCGGAGTAAAGGTCCCTTAATGTGCCTTGACCCCATATCGAGAACAGCCCTCCCTACGTGATATTTTCCATTTTCAACACCGGTTATCTTCTGTGACCTCTATAGGACTGTCAGTTTTTGTACGTCTCACCCTTACTAACTGGGAGCAGGGCTGAGATTGTGTGAGATCCTATCAGATAAGGATCTTCACAGCCTGCAGAAAGGGACAACTTTCTTTGCTAATCCTGGCCGGTATAAACCTCAGTCCCCAGAATTGAAAGCAGAGGGTGATAACAGTTAGCAAGAAAACTATCACAAAGAAGGGTTTGTTGACCTTCAGCTCGGGGCCACGGTGCAGTGTTTGGAGGTACAGTCTTTGGATGAGACATCAGAGCTATGTTCTGTCTGATTGTTCCGGTGGATGTTTTAAGATCCCATGGCACTGTTTGAAAAGAGAAGAGAGATTCTCCCAGTGTTCTGGCCAAAAGTCCCCTAAATAATATTTTAAAAATTGGCCATTCACTTCAAGGCTGTTTGTGGGTCATTGCTGTGAGCAAGTTTGCCTGTGCTGCGTTTGCCTGTGCAAAATACAGTGTCGACACTTTACAGTAAATCATGTGAAGTGCTTTGAGATATCTTGGGAGTCCTGTAGCTCAGTGGTTAGAGCACTCGCTTTGCAAGTGAGAGACCCGGGTTCAATTCCAAGCAGAGGGCGAAACCTTGGGCAAGTTTCCTTACTCCACACGGCTCATAATAATCCCTCCAAAACCACAAACAATAATAAAATTGGTCATTTTCAATCCACGACTGTCTGTGGGACATTGCTGTGCGCAATTGGCTGCCGCGTTCGCCCACAAATATACAGTCAATTCACTTTACAGTGTGTTCTGTGAAGCGCTTTGGGACATCCTCCCGACGTGAAAAGCGCTATATCAAATGCAAGGATTATTATTATTATTATCTTGACGACGTGATGAGCAGCTGGATCCTCCTGAGGATTATTCTACCGACAAATGGTCTTATAGCCCAAAGTAGACCTTTGGGCCTCTCTACTATGTAATCATGAGCAACATTCAGAATGCTTAAGAAGGATAGGAAGATGACATTTTTTCTCTTTTTTTCATGAACTTTGTGACTTTTTCGATTTATTGTAGGGGTAATACATTCCATACTTTTGTCTTGTGTTTGGAAAAAGTAAGTTGGCAGCTGTGCCTTCCAACATCGCTAAACTTGGAAAGACACTTCATGTGATCTTTAGTCCCAATTTGTTATTTCTTTGGAAACAGCCAAAGCAGTCTCCAGAGAGATTTCGCAACACTCCCTGAAATAATGATCTTGTAATCAAAAAAGGGACAAATTCCCTGGTTGATCATCACTCACTGCCACTTGTTTGGAAATAAGTTGAATTTTTCCAACTTTGGTCCTGCATTCTGAACGTCGTTGTGCATTGTGACCACAGCTCAGTTATTCTAAAAATCTCTATTGTTATGATAACCCTTGCATTTGATACAGCGCCCTGTCACATCATCGAAACGTCTCAAAGCGCTTTGCTTGATTTACCCTAAAAGGTAGGGACGGTATTTTCTAGGCAAACGCAGCAGCCAATTTGTGCACGGCAATGCCCCACAAATGGTGACGAAGTGAATGACCGATTTTATCTCGTAGGTTGTGGACCAGGACACTGGGAGAGAATCCCGTCTCCGTTTCGAATAATCGGTGTGATTCTCACGTGGGTTTCCATAGAGGGAGGACTTTTATTGTATGAGTTTATTTTTCCAATTTACAGCATGTGGCTAAAATTGATTGCCCTCAGAAGGGCTATTATATCCCTGTTCACGCAGTCCCCATTAACACAGCGACACCTGAGATTTGCTTTGTGCCAAAGTTCCAGGGCTTGTTAATGCTCTGCACCTTCAGGGTGCCTTCTATAATCTCTCATATTGGACAAACGCTGCATAATATCTGGCTTATTTATAGTTGTGATTGCACAATTGCAGTGAAGGAAGGAAGATAGTCAGAGATTGGAAACTTAGCAAACATATCAAGCCTTCGGGCTAATACCTTTCTTTGTCTTCTTTCTCAAACTATTTAAGAGAGTTTGGGAGCAATGACCCGGCTTCATGGTGCGTCTGATTGTTCTGCAGTGAGTACAGAAACTGGAAAATGGCTGTAGTGACCCGGATCAACAGCATCAGGACATTAATAATTATAATCCTTGTGTTTGGTGTAGTGCCTTATCACGATGTTGAGATATCTTAAAGCGCTTCACAGGATTGTGTGTTTTGAAGTGTATTTTGTGGGCGAAATGCAGCAGCCGGTTATGCACAGCAGCATCCCACAAACAGACATGGAGTGAATGACCAATTTTTTATTTAAGGGATTGTTGGCCAGGAAACCAGGAGAAACTCCCTTCTTTTTTCGAATGGCAGACCAGTGTGTGATTGATTAACTGATCGATTTGCAGCCGCTGTGTCACATTGCTTGCTTTCAGACCGGTTGGTAGAAGCCAGGCAGGACTGGTGCTTTCCCCATAAAGATGTTGAAAAACCTGGCCAGTTAAATTGCTCTCACTCTTGCCAATGAGAGTATTTTTTTTGCGATTCGAAAAAATCTCTCTTAAGGGTTTCAAAATGTATTCCAAACTAATCTCGACGGGTCTAAAACTTCAGTACATCAAAAAAAAAGCTGCTCAAGTTGCCAAAAAAGGAACAATATAACTTAATGTCATAAAAACCTCCAGCGTGTTTTATCCAGATGAATGGAGTGGTTTGAAGAGTATTGCAAATGGCCCTTGCAATTCAGTCGATGATCATAACTCTCTTAAGCTTTGCTGTCAGTCTTCAGTTTTCATTATTGTTGCTCTGTAACTCGCTTCTTGTGTGGACATTGTCCAGTTACCTTTTGCGTGTTGTTTCTGCAGGTTAATTTAGCTTACGCCTACGAAACAAAGGATGCACTATGCTTAGTACTGACCTTAATGAATGGCGGTGACTTGAAATTCCACATCTATAACATGGGAAATCCAGGGTTTGAGGAAGACCGGGCTGTCTTTTATGCAGCTGAGATCTGCTGTGGCCTGGGAGATCTCCACAAGGAAAACATTGTTTACAGGTGAGCGCAGATTATTGGGGCTGTAAAGCTTGAGACTGCCTGTCTGTGAGATCCAGGCTGATTGACTGTTGTATCTGCCCAGCAATGCATGACCGTATTGGAGAAGGAGAAGAAGCTTTCGTGTTTGAGTGGAACCAATAAATGTAGACACTCGAGGAAGGATTTTCTGTTTGGACCATTCCTCTCCCGATCTTCCTAGGTAACAGCAAAGCCAGAGGCAGGGCCTGGTATAGAGTGTCACACTGGGTTAGAGAAATCATTGGGAGTCGCTGATAGTCAGAGAAGATGCCCAAAGGAGCTTCAGTAGCTGGTCAGCTGATCTGGAAGAAAATGGGTCAATGTATGATTCTGGGTGAAGATGGGACAGAAAGATGACAGCCTTTCACCATCACCAAATCACCCTCGCCTTCTGCCCATAAAGCATCATCCCCTTCAGTCTGGTCAGAGATTTTTGATCTTGCACATCTGGGAAGCCTTGGACATGTCACTGGTTGTGTCAACAGCATCTCCCACATAGCACAACTTGAACATTCTGCTGGCAGCTGGGGATGGGGGAGGGAGATGTAGGAGGAGGAACCGAAATTGTAGCCTTTCAACAGCATAAAAAGACTCAATCTACGTTAGCAATAATTCCATCAAAATGTCCCCAAAATGCCGAGTCCCATTTCATCCAGAGCAACATCTTCCACTGCCCAATAGATCAAGGTAACTGTTGCTCACAGGCCCTGTCTGATACATAAATATATATAAGAGAGAGAGAGAGAGAGGGAAAGACATAGATATATGCACAGAGACGCATAGTGTTTTCATCCAATCTTTGATACATCACATCAACCAAATGTTCACTGGATTATTGCACTTTCGCTAATTCAGAGTTGCAAGAATATCAATTGGTGATGACTGGCTCCTGCTTTTGACTTGATTGATACAGAAATGGTTAAGCAGAAAACAAATGGATTTATTCATTATGAAAAACTTCCTGACTTCATTGTTATGCCCAAACATGTGTTTGTTGCGTTAAGCTGTGAAAGTAACAAAAGACTGTGAAATCAATGAAAATAACCTTTTGGATAAAATGTGCATAGGAAATATTTATTTCATCGGCATTTTGAAGTACTCTTTCTAAATGACCACTTCAGCATTGTCACCAGGGACTTTTGAATTCCTTTCCAGCAGTCGCACATGAATGCACTCCTTCCTTGGAAATAGTAATGTGTTAAGAACATATGGAAAATCTCCAGTAGAAAGTTTCCACACACATTCATTCAGGGTCATGTAACATTGAAAACTAGTGTGTTACACTGACCGTATTCTCCCCAATTAATGCTATTTGTCATATTTGTTTTCCAAAGTAGAGTTGAAGTTTGAAGTAACCAACTTAAGATTGTCGGTCATCAGAAAACAAGGCCAAGACAGTTGCATATTAATTGTGACTTGTGTCTGGAATAGTTACTGCTACAGAGCAATGTTAGGAATAGTGCTGTTGTATGAGCAGGCCCGGCCTCCTCTGGATCACAAGGGAAATGGAGGAGTAGCATCCAATTTCACTGTATCTCCAGCACTTATTGAACCAGGAAGTTGGCGGAGGCAGAGCAAACGCCCACTGTGAAAAAGACCAGAATGTGGGATTGGCACACGATCAAAACGGCCACAGAAAACAGATTGACCGTCTAAGATTGGTGTCCGAGACGACTCCCAGGATGACCGACAAAACAACTCTAAATAAAACGACTGCCTCTTTCCTGGCCAACGTTAACCATTGTTGTAAAGTGACCTCCTGTTGTGCGCAGAGACTCAGGTGTCCCTTCGTGGCACCTCGTCAGAACGAAAAACTGGTTGTTAAAAAAGGATTTGAATGTCAATTTTTTGGCACACTTTGAGCAGTCATTGCTTGTCTCCAACATCTGCCTTTCGAATGGGAGCCTGAAACGCAATGCATCAATAAATTGCACTGGATGTCTATCATAATCTCTGTCATTTCTTTAGCAACTTCAAATAAAGCCAAGATAAGCTACTGTTCTCAATGGGCTGGCGTGCTTTAACCCAATGAATCAACAGACTCATAAAAGATGAAGGTTTAGAAAAAAGACCATTTGCTCATTAGGTTTTTTGACTCCGGTCCTTAAAGATATCAATTTTGTTTTATGGTTGTACTCGGTATCAACGTTTCCGAGACAAAGGGTACCACAGAGTAACAATAATGACTGGCTGCAGAGATATCTACTGGTCTGCTGCGGAGCTTACTGTGAAGGGGATTGGATTGAAAGCAGAGGTTGATGACCTCATTGGAAGAAATTTTAGAAATCAAACAACAAATGACATTTACGTGGCGCCTTTCACCTCAGAAGGACATCCCAAGGCGCTGCACAGACAGGGATTTGGATCCGAGCAGGGGGTTGGGTTGGGGTGAGGAAGGGGAGGGAGAGAGGGTGACTCAATGCAAGTTTGAAGAGGAGGGTCTTGAGACGCGTTTTGAAGGAGGCACTGGAGGGTCCAAGACGAAGGGACTGCGGGATAGAGCTCCAAAGGGTGAGGGCACCGTAAAGTGCAGCATTTCGGCAAATGTTTTAGTCTGACAGGACCTTAAGAAGAGAGAAGATCAAAACCATGTGTAAATATTTGTACCTTAGACTGCAAGAAATTCCAAACTGTTTGCTTGCCTGTCCCCAGAGAAAAAAAACATTCCAGTGGAATTTGACTTTGTCAATATAACACGACTAGATGTAGTGTTGCTTAATATTTAAGGCTGGAAGAGTAGTCCACATTGCCCAGTATCACACTGGTGCTCGGATCTACATTGCAATGGGCAAGCAAAGCTTTTTTTTATGTCTGTTTAAAGTACGGTACTTTGGTTTGTTGCTGTGACTTTGGCCATTGAAATGTACTGTATTGCAGAATATGGAAATAGCCTCATTTCTGGAGAGGGGAAGTTTCTGCACGGATTTGTGTGTGTGGTTTAGACCAATCTGAAGCTGAAGCACCTGAACTGAGTCAAAGGATGCGGACCCCTTAAGATTAACCAATCTGATACAATTTCGTTCTCCCCTGGCTCTGATGTGATTCATCACATATTACTGATTAACACTGTCAGCTACAGATAACCCAGTGTCCCACTGCGCTGGTGGAACAAACATACAATGAGTTGAGAAATCTTGATGGCTAAGAGTTAGAAGGAAACATGAGGACAATCTAAAAAGAGATGAGATAAATTCTCAAAACAAAAGGTTCCCCCGCCCCACCTTCAATGTATGTGACAGCAATCATCTTGAATAAGATATTCACAACTGTGTAACTTTGTTTGCTCTCTCTCATTTTTTAACAGAGATTTGAAGCCTGAAAACATCTTATTAGATGATGATGGTAAGTCCTGTAGCCTATTCCATCAACCGGTTGGCTTTACCTCTTTTTTGGGAGTTTAATTTTATGTTTTGTTATTGAATATATTAAAGAGGTTTGCAAAAATGCCCGTAGGGTATGAAGAGAACGTAGTGGAATTTAAACAACAATGGAAATTGTATATCTTTGGGCCAGATTATTAAGACAATTTCCTTCTAACCTAAATAGATGGGGTGAATGTTGCTAGTCAGGATGATATCACTACACTAATACAAAAACAGATGTTGCTGGGAACACTCAGCAGTTCAGGCAGCATCTATGAGGAAATCAAGTTAACGTTTCAGGTCAACAACCGTGCCTTTCTGATCAAGGAGAATAGCGCAGATACAAAAGAGCAAAGGTTCCCTTTTCTCTCTCTTTTTCCACCCCCCCCCTCCCAAGAAAAAAAAGGGCATTAGTAAAGAAACACTGCTACTTCAACTCTCAGCGGAATGAGTGGCTGAAAGCGCGGCCACCAACGGTGGAACGGAGGGCATGAGGTACATGCAGAAGGCAGGAGCCAGTCGAGCGGAGACAGTGGGTTGGGGGGTAAACAGAGGTAGGGATAATTCACCAAGAGTATAATTCAAAGGGAACGGTGAACTGGCCAATGTTTTAATGCTAGTTTAATTTCATACAGACTAAAGCAGTAGGCACACGCGTTAAAAAAATTGCTATCAATCACCAGCCAGTTGCTAACACCATACAAAGGGTTAGTTCAGAGAGTAGGTACATCGCTGTCTTTCAATTTGCTGTACTGGAGGGTATTTGTAATAAAGTGAGAGAATGTGTTCATCAAAGGATCAGACATCCTTTGAAGCCATGAGTCAGGCTGTCACTCAAGTGACTGATTTTCTTTGTGTTCCTTGTCTTGTGTTTACACAGGTCACATTAGGATATCTGATCTGGGATTAGCTGTGAAAATTCCTGAAGGGGAGACGATTCGAGGCAGGGTAGGAACAGTAGGATATATGGGTAAGCTCCTCATCTCAAGCTCTGCGTGTTCACATATTACCGTTTTTTTGTCCAGGAGATTAAGCAAAACCTGCCTTATTCAAATCTTTCTGTGCAAATGCCATTTTAATGTTTTTCAAATTTGTATAACCGGACATGAATATTCGAATCGGGCTGATTTTAAGGTTTGTGAAAGTAATATTGCTGTTAAGGAACTAACAAAATATTGTAATGGTATGGAGATCCCACTAGAGTAACCACTGTTTTTTTTTATCTTGATGCAATCTTTCCCAATAGATCTATTTCCCCTTTCTGATGGCCTTTAGTTAAATATTATATATATATAGTAATAATCCTTGTGTTTGATACAGCACCTTATCACGTCTTTGAGACATGTCAAAGTGCTTCACAGAATATACTGTATGTATATATATATATATAAAATATTTAACTAAAACCCAATAGGAAGGGAAAATATATATGAACAATCGTTTGTATGTCTGTTTGTGTGCATTTCAATAATAATTGCTGATTATTTATTGACCTATTATTTTTACCATCTACTGAGAACAAATTTCCATCTACTGGAAATGACCATTTCATTTGGTTGTACTTTTTTTTAACTCGCAAAGTTTTCTTTATGGATATAAGTACTGAACATAGGGTCAAATTAAACTGTTCACTCATTGAGTACCACAAAAGGCTTAATTCAACTTGGTTAACATATTAAAAGCAAATAATCTGTTTGTCAAACAGGACAGCTATTTTATTAAATGCCAGTTTTGTTTTTCTCTTGCCTGTTTAGGTACAAAAAATATATAAAAAGCTTATTTTCTTAAAAGAATCACAATCTTGAAAGTAATGAGGGAGCATCGTTGCTTTTAACTGATTTCTGCCTTTATTGATAATTTTGTTCTCGTTGTGTTTTTTTGAATAGCTCCAGAGGTTCTGAACAATCAGCGATATGCATTGAGTCCAGACTACTGGGGGCTGGGCTGCTTAATCTATGAAATGATAGCTGGGCAGTCCCCGTTCCGAGGCCGAAAAGAGAAGGTTAAAAGGGAAGAGGTGGACAGGCGGGTGTTGGAAACAGAAGAAACTTACACAGACAAGTTTTCAGAGGAAGCAAAGTCTATCTGCAAGATGGTAAGCTCCCTCCAGAAAATGCCATGCGATAGATAGAGCTGAACTTGACTGCATGACCGACTGCTGTAGAGGACATTATAGTCATCTGGACAGACCAAAGTTAGCGACAGGACCTAAAGGAGAATGGCCGAGCCGGGAAGGGATTAAGTGTGACCAAATGTGGTCACAGTCAGGACCCGAAAGGTGGTCTAATTGTCAATTACGCTTTATGTGGTGGGTTTTATAGACTCGCTGTCCCAACTCCAGTCTGTTATTACCTTAATTGGGAGTTCTCCACCCAGCGGGTGGACAGACGTCTGCTTTTGGAACAGTTGCAGGGTTTTCCACAGCTGTCTAACACACGTTCATACAGCACCAAAATAGTTCTCATCCCACTGCCAGTCACACGGACCTCAAGCTCACCAATCTGATCAATTTGTCTTGCAAGACAATTTGCCAGAAGAGAATACCCTTTACAAAGATGAAGAATATTTATAATGGCAAAGAACTAATGTGGGAGAAATTGAAACAACTTTTTAAAATATATATATCTGGTAGGTAGATTGAATTCTGTAGCATATTGATCAGAGCACTCGCAAGCGAGAGGACCTGGGTTTAATTCCCGGATGGGGTGAAACCTGAGGCAAGTTTCCTTACTGCACACACCTCTGTTTACCTAGCAGTAAGCAGGAACCTGGTTGTTAGTCGATTGCCTTCAATCCCTTTTAAAAAATTTGGCCGCTCAATCCACTGTTTTAATCGCAATCTCAATCGACTGTTTGTGAGACGCTGCTGTGCGCAATTGGCTGCCGCATTTCACCCACAAAATATACAGTCAATTCACTTTACAGTATATTCTGTGAAGCACTTTGCGACCTCTCGAAGGCGTGATAAGGCACTGAATCAAGTGCAAGGATTATTATTATCTAAAGAAAGATGAGCTTCATGTCTTTGAGAGCTGAAGAAGAGTGAGATTGAGGTGGAGGAGTGGCGAATGAGTAGTTGGGTTTTTATTCCAAAGAGACCATCAAACTGCAGACCCCAGCAACTATTAGGACTTGCCAGGCAAATGAGGAGATCCTTATCATCGCTTAAACAAAACTACTGTTCTGTTTCCCCCACTTCTCCAACCCCCCCCCCCCCCCCCCCACTTAGTTCCTTCAACACAGGCTTGATGCAAACTCTACCTCTGCCCCCAAAGGAAGTCTGGTTACATGCTCCAAACTTATTTCTCTTTGATACTTCACTCCAATAGCGTGGAGAGAACTTTAATCTCCTATTCTGTTCAGCGCATTTTTATTAAATCAGATCTAATCACAACCATATGTGCGGATTGAGGAGGTGCGTTTCGGAGGCTTTTGTTTTTGTGTGCTTATACATTTTTTTTAAAAAAAGAAGATTGTTCCCACAGTATTCTCGTGAACTGGCATTTTATGTTTTAATTACTATGTGAAAAGGGTAATTGGCCCAGTGGCTTAAAGCTTTCCTTTCACCTCCAAGACTTGAGTTTGAATGGATTCCAAGCTGATGGGATGAAAGTATTGCCTCTTTCTCTGCTGGCTGTAAGGTTTCTGAGTGGAATGTATTTGGGCAGTCGTAATATAGTCCCTCGAGGACATGAGTCTGCAGTACAGAATGGCCAAAATTCTGCACTAAATTGATTTTTTTTTCTTTTACAAAGCTTGCATTGTTGCGCTTAATAGGGCAATGTCACTCGGAAAGTCCATGCAAATAACTTGGTGGAGAAATGAATTGCCTATTGCAGTCGGAAGGCACATTTTTGGCACGGTACCACAGAGAGCATTGCTCTGTATCGTGCCTGCGTTGCACCTGACCTGGCAGTGTGGTATTCTGACACTGTGTAGAAGAATGTTCCATTTCCCCAGCACTGACCTCTTTTGCCTTGAGAGGAGGAGTTTGTCGTTTTATTTTAACGAAAGGAGAATAAAAGTAGATGGATGGGGGTTTGCCCGGATCCCTAGTTGTCGAGATTATTAATAATAATAATAATCCTTGCATTTGATGCTGCACCTTATCATGTCTTTGAGACGTCTCAAAGCGCTTCACAGGATATACCGTAAAGTATAATCACTGTGTATTTTGTATAATTACTCCTTCGGTCAGCTCTGAATGACTCCCATTACCAGCTCCATCTCTGTGGTCGAGTGCTTCGAGAGGTACTTAACAGTGCAGTCAGGAACCACATGTGTTCACAGTGGACAATTTATCTCTCGTTGAACGATTGATGGCATTCGGAAGGCCTGGCATTCAGACGCACTTCAATCCATGCCTGATTTTTCCTTCCACAGTTGCTGATTAAAGATCCCAAGGAAAGGCTGGGCTGCACAGGAGGAGGTGCTGCAGACGTGAAGAAAAATCAGTTCTTCAGGAATATCAATTTCAAGCGACTAGAAGCCGGAATAATGGATCCTCCGTTTGTACCTGATGTGAGTGATAGCGAGAGAAAGACAGCGTTAGAAAAGTTATAGCTGCAAATCCATTCAACTCTCTATTGCAATGAGCACAAAACAACAACAACAACAACAAATTACATTTGTTTAGTGTCCTTCACGTCGGGAGGATGTCCCAAGGTGCTGGACACTCGAGAGATTTGAACCCGTTAGCATCAGAGAAGGTGGAGGGCAGGGAGAGTAGGGGTAGGAGGGTGACCGAGGGTGCAGTCGAAGAGGAGGGTCTTCCCAACGTAAAAGGCATTATATAAATGGAATTTGTTGTTGTTGTTGTTGCATGAGGACAGAGATATCCATTGCTGCACTACAGTGTGGGTGTGAGGAGGCTTGAAGCGCATAACTGGGCAACACGGAGGCTATTTGGGGCTGCAGTTTTTGTTAGGTCAGGGTACCAAGGGATACGGGGCGAGGGGCGGGTAACTGGAGTCGAGATACAGATCAGCCACGATCTTATAGAATGGCGGAACAGGCCTGAGGGGCTGAATGGCCTCCTCCTGTTTAGGCGTTTCTATGCAAAGAACTCGCATGACCGCCACTTTCTCGGCAACATTCTCGTGACGTTTTTCCGGCCCCGATAGCTACATCCTCTGGAAGAGCGTCTGCGACCTTAAAACCAGAAGACAGGCCCCTCTCCCACCCCATAAAAAAATGCAAGCGCGATGGGGAGGTTTCAAAATTCATTCCGTCCGTGCCAGTGCCCGCGACTCATTAATTGTCGATTTTGTTTGTCCACAGCCTCGCGCAGTGTACTGCAAGGACGTTTTGGACATCGAACAATTCTCCACTGTGAAAGGGGTGAACCTGGACCAGACGGATGACGACTTCTATTCCAAGTTTTCCACTGGTTGCGTGTCGATTCCCTGGCAGAATGAGGTGAGACGACCCTTCTGACTTGGGCTTGGCTTCGGTGAAACGGCCAGTGTTACAAATTGAACTTGCTTTGTTGTTTGAACGTGCGCCCATCAGCTTCCCCCCCCCCCCCACCCTCCCCCCGATCTTTGTTTGGACACGCACCGGGGGAACAAGTTTGTGGAATTCTGTAACGACAAACAAAAGTTTTATTGAAAGCAGGAACAAGCCCCCATAAAACAGGCCGCTTGCTATTTGAATGCTGTAGAGGCCAAAGGATATTGAGTGGACACACCATCAGCTTCTTGCGATTGAGATTGCAGACCTCAATTTATAGTGGGTGCTTCTTCGATGTGGGTGAAGCAGTTGTTATGGAGGTGACGGTGCATGTTATTCACCCCAAATAATGTATGAATTTGCAAACGACGCAATGTACATCAGATGTCCTCTGGTCCACAAACCGGTGACCAGGGCCGGAGGCATTTCTGAACACACAGCTTATTGACTTGCTCATAGCTCATAGTGTCCAACATTGGGTGTTTGTTTCATCTTAAAGGGACGTGTCAAGGAATATGTGAGAATGCTATATATACCCTGCTTTGGAATCGTTCTGCCTCACTTAAAAGTGTGGCTGCACAGACCCACCCTAACTGGAAGTGCGGAAAGCCCGGCTTCCACACTTGACTAGTCAGCTTCCTGTGCTCAACAACGAAAAGGCTGACTTCCGGGTCGTCAATCAGGACATTACTGATGTTGCTTCAGTGCAGGAAGCACTGCTGACACCCTGCACCACACACAGGAGGTTCGCCAATGGCACTTCCTGCACATGTTCACGAAGTTGGTGGCAACCTCAAGACCTGAAAGTCGGTCATTTCTTAGCATTTGGCTTATAACACGGTCATTGAGACATTGGACGCTCTGCCATTTCGAGGTCCTCTTCCCTGTAAGTCTTTTGAAAATCTAAGTGCCTGCTGTTCTATTCCAGTTCTCATGTCAGTGTAAATAAAGTTAAACCCCTTTCATTTTCAGTTCAGTTCCTGTAACTCAGTCGCGAATAAATTCAAATCACTTTGGAACCTCTCGTCAGATAGTACTTCCTGATGAGCTGTGCCAGCAATAATCTAAAAAGGTCTCCGTGGGAGAAGACGACAGCAATCAATGTGCTGGGCACAGACCTGGGAGGTCAAATGCTGAACTGTTCATGTGAACTGTTCATTGTGGTCAAGAAATGCTAATAAAAGGGAGAGTTGCCCAGTTTATCCCTCGTGTCTTGACTGGAGTCACTGATGTCCCTGTTTTCTCGTCACTGCAGATGATAGAAACCGAATGCTTTAAAGAACTGAACTTGTATGGTCCAAATGGAGGTTTGTCTCCAGACCTGGACAGGAGCTATACCCCTGAACCACCTAAAAGAACACTCCTGCAAAGGCTCTTCCGACGGCAGGTGAGATTATGATACACCATAAAACAATTTGCGTTTGCATAACGCCCTTCATGTCGGGAGGATGTCTCAAAGCACTTTTTTGTTGGTCAGCCGGATATCTGACACACGTGGAAACACATCACCGTTGCTTAAGAGGGTCCAAACCACGCTGAGATTTCTCTGCATCCCACCTACACATGGAAATCCCAGAGATAGATAGTTGGAATGGAATGCGCTCGCTCTCTCTCTCTCTCTCCCTGGAGGGCGTATCTTGCTTACTTAATTCCGGAAAGTATCAGGCGCTGTCTTTTTTTTATTATTTTGGGGGGAAGTAAGTGCGAGGCATTAATATTTTAACACAGATCATTTTGTGCCTATGAGCGCCATCTCGTGGCAATCGATAAGAAGTGATTTCATAATTATTAATACATAGTCATCTTTGCTTTGATTTAGGGCTTTTCCCCTCAGGAGAATGTTCAAAGTGCTGCACTGTAAAGTGAACCCCACTGTTTTTGTAGGGGAGCGCGGCAGACAAGTTTGCGCACAGCAGCGTCTCACAGACCGATCAAGTGAACGACCAACTTTGACTGGGGAATTGTTGGCTAGATTTAATTATGAACCCACAAAGGTCTATGTTATAATGATAATATTCCTTACATTTGATATAGTGTCTCTCATGTCGGGAGAGCATCTCAAATCGCTTCACGGGATATGCTGTGAAGTGTAGTTTTTGTAGGGGAGAGTTATGATGAACCTTTAAGTTATGATGAACTTTTATAAAACACTGGTGAGGCCTCAGCTGGAGACTGTGTTCAGTTCTGGGCCCCACACTTTAGGAAGGATGTCAAGGCATTGGAGATTGACCAGGATGGTACCAGGAATGAGGGACTTCAGTTTTCCGGAGAGGCGAGAGAAGCGAGGATTATTCTCCTTGGAGCAGAGAAGGCTAAGAGGAGACTCAATAGAAGTTTTCAAAATTATGAGGGGATTCGATAGGGTGAACAAGGAGAAACTATTTCCGCTGGCAGGTGGGTCGGGAACCCGAGGACACCAATTTAAAATAGTTGTTAAACAAGACAGAGGGGAGGGGAGGAGAAAATTTTTTTTACACAGCGAGTTGTTCAGATCTGGAATGCATGGCCTGAAAGGCCGGTGGAAGCCGATTTGGTGATAGCTTTTAAGAGAGAAGTAGATCGTTATTTGGGGAGGACAAGTTTGCAGGGCTATGGGGAGAGAGCGGGGGAGTGGGGTCGATTTGAACAGTTCTTTTCCAAGAGACAGCTCAGACACGATGGGCCGAATGGCCTCCTTCTGTGCTGTATAATTCTGATTCTATGATAGTGACTGTATATTTTGTAGGCATACAGTAATTTACAGCGTGATCACGTCGTCCACAAAATACACAGTCAATTCGCTTTTCAGTGTATTCTGTGAAGGGCTTTGAGACGTCTCGAAGACGTGATAAGGCGCTATATCAAATGTAAGGATTATTATTATTATTTATCAATTACCTTTCTTCCCAAAGAATCATCAAAGAACGGTCCTTTGCTTTTTATTGTCTGGCTGGTGTGTGTACTTGAGTGGAGTCCTGTAGCTCAGTGGTTAGAGCACTCGCTTTGCAAGCGAGAGACCCGAGTTCAATTCCAGGCAGAGGGCCAAACCTTGGGCAAGTTTCCTTACTCCACACAGAGCCTAATAATAATCCCTCCAAAACCAAATAAATAATAAATTGGTCATTTTCAATCTACGACCGTTTGTGGGACATTGCTGTGTGCAATTGGCTGCCGCGTTCGCCCACAAATATACAGTCAATTCACTTTACAGTGTGTTCTGTGAAGCGCTTTGGGACGTCCTCCCGACGTGAAAAGCGCCATATCAAATGCAAGGATTATTATTATTAATGTTAAATTTACGCAACGTGCGATCTCTCTCTTTCAGAATCACAGTCATTCAAACAGCTCCGGGACTGCGAAGACTCATTCCAACCATCAAGTAAATTCTCATCAAGCTAACTCAAACTCTGGAGGGAACAGCTAGTCTCAGCTCATGATTCGTGTGGCAATTCTTTGTAACTTTTCCCGTTTTCTGGAACTATTTAGCGGAAAAGCAGCAGCTCTCCCCATCCCCACTCCCACCTCCCCGTCCCCTCCTGCCATGAAGGGGTATTGATTCCACACGAGCAAGCCTCTAGAGTTTCTTGATCCAGCTGCTCACTTGCTCTCAGGTGTGTGTCGTTGAGATTGGGATTGTGACATCTGAAACGAGATGAAATATTGCAATAGCAATTCAATGGAAATGGCTACTTGCATGTATTTAAAAACAAAACAAAAAAGCATTGTACTAGAACTGTATTTTGTCTTTATTAAAAAAAAAGGTTTTGTAAATTTCTCTATAACTGTCTCAGTTTACATTTTGTACATTTGTATTTAAAGTATGTCAGAATCAATTGGGATGTATATTTTCTGCCCAGCAGTTGTAAAAGCCATGTGCCGATTCCACGATGAACATCTTTGCGAATTTTTATGAATTGTGATTTTCAATTTCCTCGGCATTTAAACGGTGAACGAGAACCTGTTTTATTGCTTTTTTTTAAAAAAAAATCTGCAGTAAGTGATTTTCTTTCTATATTCTTTCACCATATCGGTAATCATTTTATATTTTTGTAGCTTTTTGTCATAGCTTGCTGTTATTAAACATGCCTCTTTCTTTTGTACGGCTGTTATGGTTATTTATGATTTCACTGAGCAAGTACATCTTGTCGTTTGTCAGTGTTCTGCCATTTTAGAGTTTAACAAAGGGGCTTCTGAGCAAACCAAACTCTTTTTTTCGTTTTGTTCCTGATATTAATCCTGTTTCGCCCACAAAATATGCAGTCAATTCACTTTACAGTACATTCTGTGAAGCGCTTTGAGACGTCTCGAAGACGTGATGAGGCGCTGTATCAAATGCAAGGATTATTTATCATTATATATTATATTAATCCTATTGTTTCCAATGGGCAGGTGATTTTTTTATTGTGTGAGGGGGTGTGGGGGTGGAAACAAAATCCTTGAATGTAATTTTCTCGCACCACTTTGATGCCTCATTCACGTTGGAAAGTAAACATTGCCCTCAATTGGTTGAGAACTGCGTTGAAAGAGATTCGTGGAGGAGTGGGCCAGTGGTGCAAACACACTGGAGCACCAGCAGAACCCAGGGTTAGTGGTCAGGAGTTCCCAATCAAGATGGTCACAAACTGAGGCTGAACCATTGTGGCTTCCCTCGTTTCCTCACTGTTGGTTGACCGGAGAGGCTACCAAGTGTTGGTAGAGATGTCAGGGAAATGCTTAAAATGCTTTTAGCCACGAGTGGTGTATGGCCCCAGTGAGATGTGAAAAATAACTTAGCCAATGACCACGATGTCCTCCACTGCTCCATACAGGAAGGGAAAGGGTACGAAGGTCAATTGTGAGACTGCTTTTTACATATCGAAGGACAATAAATAACATTAAACTGCAAGACAAAATCATTCAGCAACTTGTCCCACAGCCCAACACTCCTCTTTTTAGATTCGATAATATATACCGGTGTCAATCACTCTCACTCTTGCGACCTACTTGGGAATCTCTTGTTTTGCATTCCCTGGATGCAACCCAAGCAAGGAGCCAAGGATATCCTCACTCAAGTGATGGAGGTTCTTAAAGAGGGGCTGTTACATGGAAATGATGTATTCCAGCGTTTAGGGAAAGAACGAACACAAGGAGTATATTATAAACCCACACTGTGCGAGGCTGAAGTCAGCACTTAGAAAGCTTGTTTCACCGAATGCTCGATATGTTTATGGATCCCAGCACCAAAGCTGCTATCAGTTGTTTCAAGAATGATTGCATTTGTTGTCTTATTCCAAAGAGAAAAGTGTATTCAATGTATGTCATGTGTTGTCATTTCTGTCATTTTTGATGAGCTATATAGTGTAGTCAGCAGGTTGCTTTCTTAGACGTAAACTAGATACAGACAAAAATGTAGGGTTAAAATCTACCCACTTGAACGTTTTTAATGCCTTTAAGCTTTGCCTTCCTGTTTCTCTTGAGTGAAAAACCATTTGTCACAATTGTACTCAATTATCCAAACTTCACAGTAAAAAAAAATTAATTCACAAAAAAAAATCTCTTGGGCCAAATTACAAGGTATGGTTTTTGGTTTTATCCAACTGAACATTTTCTGAAATGTAAACTTTTTTTTGATGTTGTATATTAACTTGTTTGCAGGGAAGAACAGAAGTCAGTGACTTTATGGAAATTGTGAAAAAAATGTCGGGTTTTTAATAAAATTATTCAACTTAAGAATTTGCGGATTGAGAACAACTCCTGTAAAGGAGTTTCTATTCTCCTCACAGATCTATTTATGGCACTTAGTAGATATTCATTCTTGGGACTGACTGTAAGAAGTAGCAGAAATAGTGATGTTAAGTTTCGCACAAGTGTGATTAAAAATGCAATGCAAGAGCATGTTTCCAATTAGTGAAGAAGCCGGTTCCCAATTGTACTGATAGGACTTTAATTTAGCCTCAGATATTCGTTTACACATCCACCATTCACATCTACAGACTTTAAGGCAACGGAGGACTCTTTAAGTTTTCCTGTACAAAATCCCAGAATGTTATTTGGGTGTTGGTGTTAGGAAGTGATGTGTTTGTGTGTGTGTGTGTGTGTGTGGGAATGACGGGGAAGAAGACTAAATTTGCTACGTGGCATATTATTGAATACCTGTAGCACTTATAGCTTATACATTGACAGGTGAGTGAAATTTAGATGTGGTGGTTAAAAAAAAGTGTTGTGTGCAAACTACAAAAATAAGCAAGTCGTCATACAGTAAATTTGTGCTATAATAAGCGTAGGGTAGAGGAAGAGCCTGTTTTCAAAACAGTTGCAAGATGTGGGCAATTAATTCACAATTTACCACAAATAATAATAAACAGATTATTTTCCCACACTTAAAAATAGTTTCCAAAATAGTTTGTTGCCTGCTAAAGCACTGGTTTAAGAATTCCTGTTTGTTCAGAGGCATAAAAAATAATTTGGATTTATATTGGTACAGTGTGTGTTATATATTATGTAATATATACACTATATCTAATATAATAACGGTGGAAAAGATGTCTCCTATTGTTGGTTCGCCCCAAAACCTACTACATTTTAAACCATTTACAGAAGGGGGGTGGGGAGAGAGAAAACCAAACTTGGTTTAAAATATTTAAACCAAACCAAATAATTTGCAGTCTGCATTTTCTGAGTAATTTAATTCGCACGCACGCCTCCCAGGAAAAAAAAACATGAAAGTGCAAAGCCAGATTAATATGGAGGAGATTTTGTTGTCGCTCAGTGTCAAGTCCCTACAAGATAGGTGACCGCTTTGAGATTCAAGCCCCTATCACTTTGCAAAATAGCACATCAAATAAATAACATTGGAAAAAAACTAGGTTCACCTCCAGGGAAAACTACTCGAATATTATGAAGTGTTCACAATGCAACGATGATTCGATCGCCTTTCCACATATGATCTTGGTAGTTAATTGACGATGGGTGTCTGTTTTAGACAAACATTTACATACATTCACTGTTTGTATTCGTTCGATGAATGATGTGGCTTTATGAAGTGGTGTGTCTGTCTTTTGTTTGTTTTTCCTGTTAAATGATCGCTGCCTTTTTTTGGGGTGGTTCTGTGCGTGTGTAAAAAAAATACTGAATTACAATATTCAAAGGTTTACAGTTATTTTCAGGGAATACACTGCCATGCTCTTCTAGGAAGGATTTAAATGGATCAAGGTGGTACTTGTTTCTTTCTGACCATGGCTTCTGTCTCTCTGGCTGCTCTTCACTCTTAGTACTTATTATCCAACAAATGCCACAGTTGTGCTGTAACTAGAAAAGTTTTTTTGTGTGTAAAATAAAGGATCATTTGAATTGCAAAGGAAGTACTGTATCTTTGATCTGTAAGTTGAAAACTGTTGATGTCTAAATACAGTTGATGACGTTACTTCCTATTGATCAGAACTCCTGATTTTTTTTTGGGGGGGGGGGCGGTGGAGGGTGTCTATTTCCGTTTGTTTTTAACTAAAATTCTTAAAATGTTCCAGTGTTCATTTTTTTTTAAGCTGGGAGAGATTGAATGAATGTGTTTGCCCTTGACGACCTTGGAGAAAATGAGCACAATAATGCTAAGCATTGGGCTACCTCAACACTGAAAGATTGTGGGAAAATATCACGTAAATTGCACATTTGGACTGACGCTGACTATTCTTGTGTTCGGTTAAATATCTCCAACGAGACATCCAGTTGGATCAATTTACAAATGTGGAGAATCGTGTTAGAATTCTCAGCTAAAATCCACAATAATAATAATAATTATCCTTGCATTTGATATAGAAATAACTATATTTAACCATAACTAAATATGTGACAAGGCTCTGTTTGACAACAACATAGATCGAAAGGGAATTGCAAAGAAACTGACTGATTGAGTGAGTAGGTGGAACAGGGAGCCGACTGAGGTCAACGCTTCAACGTTTTGAGATAGAGCACAAAGGCTATAAGAACTGTAAAGTAGACTGACTAGGAAAGCACTGCGGGAGATGGATGAACAAAGGGATGTAGAGATCCAATTTGAGGTAGTGGTAAGCTGGTTCACAGATGTACAAAGCCATCAAAATGGTTAATAGGGACGCTAAGAGCTTCAACACAATAGGTGTAAATTATTACAGCAAAGAAGTGCCACTAGATGTACACTGAGTGCTGGATGGATGTCATATTGTGGGTCATTCTGGGCACTTTCCTTTAACCTTGGAGGAAGTCCAGTGATTGCTTTTCAGAATGATACTTGGAAGGAAAGGATTTGGTTTTGATGTGGGGTAAATGGGACCCATATTCCTTCTATTTGAGGAGGTTTGTCTGACGGGGATGTTCAAAAGAAAAGGGAATTGAAGATAGATGATTGGAGGGAGAGAATCACTCTTCAATCTAGTTGTAATGAAATTTAAAAACAAGCGGAACATTAATCCCAAAGTTACGGTGGGCAGCAGATAAGGGAAAATGTTCTTCTCAGAGAATCAAGACCGCAGAAAACCACATGCGCAGTAAAGATTGCATTTTCTAACAAAAAATTATTTCTGTGGGAATAAAAGGTGTTTAAGGGATATGGAGAAAGTGCAGAGAAACGGAATTTTAAAAATACAATAAAAACCTACATCATTCATAAAGTGGCAGAGCTGTTTGCGTGTTCAAAGCACATCTCAAGACCCTCCTCTTCGACTTGGCATTCAGTCACCTTCCTACCCCTACCCTCCCTCCACCCTACCCTCCACTCCCACTGATCCCAACCACCAGCTCGGGTCCAAATCCCTGACTGTCCAGCGCAATGGGACGTCCTCCCGACCTGAAAGGCACTTTACAAATGTAATTTGTTCTTGTACATCAACGTAGCTTGACTGCATGCTCAGTGTTCACATGGGTCCAATACAAATCACAGGGAAATGAACTAATTTAAGTACTGTAAACCTCACAAATCTGTAAATAAATAGAGGATTGTGGATAATATAAAGCTGCTTTGTCGATTGGCTTTTCTTCTAAGCCAAAATCTTTGCAGGACAAATAGGGCTTAGCAATTGCATGTGCTTAACGCAGCAAAGTAACAATGATCTGATAAGACATCAGCAGATCCAACGCATATGTTAATGGG